GAAAACGCCGTGCTGTGTTTTGCCGAGGGAAGGTTGCTTTGAAAGAGCCCTGTGCTCCCTCCCCTGCGGCGGGGATCCTGTTGATTTCTTTCTCTGTGCTGTAGCTGGAGGAGTGAAAACTCTTGCTGTGAAGCACGTAGGGTTCTTTATCCCTAGACCTTAAAAATATTTTCTAGCTTTTTAAAAAATGTAGCAGACGTGGAGATTGATCCGCTCACCTCCCCTTCTGAAACGAGTAAAGGTAACGGGTCCATTTTAGGACAGCTTGGTGTGCGAGATATTGCCTGTAAGCACACAGCAGCTTTCAGGTGAGAGCAGCTAGGCTGCTTAGAGACCTGTCTATAAGGTAGATTTGCCCAAACGTACTAGGAATTTTAACTGAACTAGGTAAGACAGAAGCAGATTTTTTTTTTGAGAGAGCCTCAGTTTTGTTTCTGAGAAAATGTAATTCACACTCCTAACAGTCATGATATTTTTTAGTAGTCTTTTTAATCTTGAAGGCCAGCTGAATAGTTTTGGATAATGAGGAGCTGCTGTAGGCGCATAAACGTGGCAGCCTATGGATCTGTAAGGCAATTAGATTGCACTTACTGCTCAATTTTTTTAATGTGCCTGGATGGTCATAATTCACAGACAAATGGCCGTTTTTCTTCCACCTCCTCTTAATTTAGGAGGAAATTATATGTTCCTAATCTTCTGTGTGATTTGCCGGGTCGGTAACCCAGGAGATTTTGAGATTGCTAGCATTACCCCAGGCAGTGCAGTATTTTCTCTGTGCTGCGTACCTGGTTGTTTCACGCCAAGGGTAGAGGCTGTTTCTCCCAGCCCTCTCAGCGCCCTGCCTGCGTGCTGCATTTACCGCAAGGGGGCGCGTTCTGAGCGTGATTTTTGTGGTGTGCACGTGTCCTCTGGGAACAGAGCTGCGGCCCATGGGGTCCACCCTTTTATAGGGGGAAACTCTCACCTCGGCCTACACTTTGCACTGATGGCCCAGAGCTCCTCTGGTCGATAGATCTTTACTATTTTCAGAGTTGTCAGAACGTTTTTGAAATGATTTTTTTTTTCTTGGACTGCATATGGTTATACCTTAACGCTTACAGTAGAGCAAGGAACCTCTGGAAAACTTATAAAAAGTTCCAAGCCCCTATAATGGGTGTTGGCAATTACACACAAATTTTGATGTTAGAAATAAGTGGTGTATTTAGGATGTCTGTTGTTGCCACAGGAGGAGATGATGCTCTGCTTGGAATTTGCATATGCTAGCTTACCAATGAATTGTGACCATCATCAGGAACCCTTCCTGCCATCAGGTTATCTTCTAATGCTTGTGTTTTCAGTCTGCAGATGAGAGCTCATAGTTGTGTGACTCAGGGTTTTTGCTGTCTCTCCAAAGGAAGCGTTTAACATGAATTCAGCAGGGTGAATTTTTTTAGATTAGAAAGAGGACCGTTCTGATAACCTAATCGCACCTACTGCCATACCTAGGCCAGAAGACTTCACCAAACAATTCTTGCATCAAGCCCATTGCTGCCGACTGAGACAGAGCACTACTATTCAGAAAGAGATCCACGATCCCGATTTGCGGAGTGTGTCGAGGAGAGATTCCAGAGTGTCCTTTGGTGCCGGATACTGCTGTGGATCTAATGAAGGGCCTGGATGGCTGGAAGATGGTGGTCTCCAGGGATGCTGCACTGTAGGTGCTGGGAACTTGGCAGCAAAGATTAGGCTGGCGGCTTGTTTGAAGTCTAAATCAGCAAGTTTGCAGCCCGAGGCTTAGTTGTGTGGGCCCTGGCAGGCAGGGCAGAGGTGATATATTTAGCTCTAGTTGGCCTCAACAGCAAAAATTGCTGCTTGGGTAGGACGGGTCTTCCAAATTGTGTAGCGACACGAACAGGGCGGGTTACTTCCGAGAAACACACTCCCAAGTCAATATTAAACAAAAGGATTCTCCTGTAAAACGTCTCATCCCTTGTCTTGGCTTCTTTTGGTGGTGAAAGGTATCAGTTTCTCTGCCAGGCAGGTAGATGTTCTTTTTGTGTGTCTAAAATTCAGCTTAGAAAGTGAAATGATTGTTCCCCTGAATGCCTCCCCTTTGGAGGGGAGAGTTTGTGCAGAGAGAAATTTGTTCCGAGGTCCATAGCCCCTCTCCACAACTCTTTCAGAAAAAGGACAGTTTCTTTTATATGTATATAATTTTTTTTTTTTTTTTCAAAAATGAATTGACTGAAAATCACATTGACCTAGCTCTTCCTCCTCCCTGGAGTTTTTATCTTTCTTGTAAAAGCTGTTTTTTCATTAGAAGCTTCAAGAAAGACAGTGAACTTTAACCTTTTCCCATATTTTTCAACCAGCCACGCTCACCAGTTCTGGCGGTGGGTGTTGGAGTGGGTTTTACTACAGATTGTTAATGAAATGGCAGAGTGACAGCTCCTTGGCACATCAGTATGCTCAGACTGATTAGGTCACTCCCTCCTCTATAAAGACCAAAGAAAGTGGATAAATTTTGTGTGAATTAATTAGGGATTAAATGATTGGGTGTATGCTTTTTTAATGCTTGTTATAGAGGTGTACAGCTTGGGACACTGTGACACCTAGATTAGGATGATGCAGGCAGCGTTCCAGGGCCTGGAGCAGCAGATGGGATTGCTTGCTTGTCAGTGTCCTTGGATGACGTAGGAAATGGATGCACAAAAGCTAAATGCTTCCTATTGCACCTGCACATATGCAGGTTGCGTGCAAGGGGGGAGAGCCTTGGAACTGGTCCCTAGTGCCCACTGCAGAAGAGTTTTAGGTAATGATGGTTACAATGGAAATCAAAGTGTATTTAGCAGTGTGGGCTAAATAGTATTTTATTCACTGCTCAAGGTCCCCTTGGTTCCAGCTAGATTCTCGCTTGTTCTTGCTGCTTCTGCTGCAGCTTACCTCTTGTCTTTTTAACCCTCTGTCCTGGATAGGGTTCCTGTGTTGCTCATTCGTTAAAAGGGATAAAAAGCAGACTTCTCTCAGATCATTGCAAGATGAACCTGTCTCCTTGGGGTTTGTGGTTTCCAGGTGGGCCACTCACCAATCCAAAACTGGAATTTTCCCATGTGTCGGTCTCAAGCCCGCTCATAGGTTATCTAGGGTAGAGAGTATGAATGTACAGCAGGCATTTCTCATTGAAGTCTTTTTGGAAAGTGGAAAGGAAAAGTCATTGTCATCTGCGTGAGTGTTCCATAAGGATTTTTCACTACTATACTAGGATAAATATTTCTGTGGACTGAAGAATGAAATTCGGTTGCAGTGGGTAATACTGGACAAAGGAAGACTTCATAATTTCAAAAGAGGAACTGCAATAATTATTTTGTAACCGAGAGACGCTACACTTCTCTGATCCAATGCTCAGCTTTATTTCCTTTTCTAGAAGAGCAATTAGTCTGGGAAAATTGGCAACATTTAGCCCAGAAGTGACAGGAGTTCACTGTGAAACAGAGAGCCTTTGAAACATGTGCATGTTCTTTTTAATCAGTAACAATCACACTTCCAGACAAACGTCTAGGATCACTGAACCTCTGCTGAGCCCTGTCATACGCACTCAATACAATGCTGCTAAGACCAAGTAACTCCTCCTTTCACTGCAGTTTGTGCTTTCACTTTTTGTATTCAAAGCTAAATTATTAATATTCTTATGGATGCTTTGTGGCACCCCGAACAATTTCAGATGGCTTTGTAGGATAAGTGGGACGTGTTTTTATTAAACAATAGTCTTATCCAATTTTAG